TTGCTGGCTAATGCTTGGCTCCAGAGTCCCCTTCTACAGAGGCCTGCCCCCTTGCTTGCTTTACAAGCTTCGAGTGACAGCCCTTTCTAAACAGCCTTTAGATATGTAGTTCAAAACACCAGAGCTGGCCATTTCATTTAGTGCCTGGCTAATTTGATCAAAGCCCCAGGAACCCAAGAGGTTTTGCAATTGTCTCAACTGCTCCTTGCAAGTTAAACAAATGTCACGACTTTCCAACCCTTTGTTCTGAGCCTTTTTTGGGCAGAGATTGCTGGGAGAAAGTCCTAATTTTACCCTGGAGTAACGCTAGGGTTTATGCTAGGAGAAAGTCCTAATTTTACCCTGGAGTAATGCTGGGGTTTATGCTGGGAGAAAGTGGCCATGGAATTAACCCGCAAGGAGAGCAGAATGAGGCAGAGAATATGAAGCCCCCGAGTCGTTAGCATTTTGCAATGAGAAGTTGTGATCAGATTTTGCCAGAATTAAGGTCCCATCGGTCCAGTTGCTGCCCAGTCTGCGATGCTGCGGGAGGTCTTGACAGAACAAGGAGCAACGCTCTCCAGTTGCAGCAAAGGACGTTGAGGTTAGATATTAGGAAGGATTTTCTCACTAGGAGGGTAGGGGAAGCACTGGAACAGGTGACCCAGAGAGGTGGTGGAGTCTCCATCGATGGAGGTTTTCAAAACCCGGCAAGAAAAGCTTTGGCTGAGATGATCTAGTTGGGGATGGTCCTATTTTGAGCAGAGGGATGGACTAGGTGTGACCTCCTGAGGTCCCTTCCAGCCCTCATTTTCTATGATTCTGCCTTTCCCAGGACTCCATTTGGCTTCCCCTGCTGAATGCAATGAAATTTGTGCCCTCCATGGGCCATAAACAGTCTCAGAGACTAGTGGGGAGGAAGACACTATGGCATTTCATACATTTCCTCTGCCTCCCCTGACCCTGTAGACAGGCTGGCAGCAACGAGCCGAGGAAGCAATCCACTCGTGTGCCGGGGGACACGGTTTCAAGTATGCGATTGGGCAGGTGCTCGGCACATTTTCACGGTGTCCTGCTGATCTACGTATACCTGGTGCTGCCGAGTCGCCTGCCGCAGACACGACGTGAGGTTAACAGAAGGACCTGAATGGAGAGAGGGAGATCAGCAGACCAAATGGCTCCGTGATGGTACCTAGCATTTCTCTAAGCACTTAAGGGGATGTCCATTGAGTCCTCTAAGTGAGAACAGTAATTAAATTTTATCCCAGTTTTATCAACGGGGAAACGGAGGGGAAAAGACGCACCCAACAGCTCCGTGATGCAGTCAGGAACGGGACCCAGGTGTCCGGCCCTATACAAAGCCCTTCCTTTCCTTCCTCCCTGCTTCCAGCCAGGGTGCGTGGTGCTCAGACACCTCGGAGCAGAGTCGCTGTTCATCCCCGATCACAGGGCGGCGGGGCTGGGATGGCAGCTGGCATTTTCCATGGCAACGATGGCATTCCCGGGCGCTGGGCTGCGGGTTGCCATGGCAGGCAGCACAGCCCCTTGCACTTAGCAGGGAGACGGACCCCCTGGGGAGATGGCCTTGGTCCAGGCTACTTAAATTCTGGGGTTTCCTAGTCCTGGGTTTCTTTAAGAAACTTGACAAGTCCACCTCGCCCAGAGCAGCTCCGTCATCTTGGAACGCGTCGTAGGTCAGATTGACCCCAACAACAGGGTTGGTTTTTATGGGCTAACCAGACTTGGGAGACCTGAGGCTCCCCAATTAAAACACCTCTCCAAGGGATAGATCAGGGGGCTTTCAGGAATGGTAGCTGCAAGTTTTGCTGCCCATGCAGGATGGACCAAAATCGTCCCAACGCCGCCTAGATGTTCCTAACGCTCTTGCAAAGCTCTGGCATCTTCACTGTACTTTTTTGGCTGCTACCAGGAAGCCAAGCCAGCCCGTTTCCCCCCTTGTGTCCCACGGGGCTCTAGGAGCAAATTCCTAACAATAAATTTTTGGAAGCAGAGGCCTTGTGATTTTTGGTGTCCTGCCAAGCCCGCTCAGAAACCCCTCCGCGGCAACCTTCTTCCTCTCCAGCTTTCTTTCGAGTTTCGTTCTTCCTCCTTCTCTCTTCTCCTGTACGGTTAAGGCCCAGCGATGTCGCATCTAGAGGGACGTTCTCAACAGCCACGGCAAATTGTTTTGCTGGACACGCTAACGGGATGACCCCGAGATTGACAAATTATTGCTGAAAACAATGAATTTGATGTTGTTTGGCAACGTGGGTGAAACCCGAGACCCGATGGTTTTCCTTCGACTTCCCCTGGGATCCGGAGACCGAGCTGCAAAAATTCCAAGCGAGCGGGGAACGGCGGGAAGGTCGAGGGTGAAAGTTCTCGTGTTTCCATCCCCGGTCGCCCTCGCCGTGCCATGTGCGTCATGTCGCGAGGCATTCTCACAGCCCGGCCGCCCTCGGAAAGCACCGGGACTCGGTTTCTTGGGGGGGAGCGGAAACGAGGGGGAATCAAGCCAGTGTTATGCACGCAGGGTTGGTGAAGGTTTCTGTGTTTTATCAACAGTGTTTTAGGGGCTTGTTTCAAAAGCACTGGGAAAAAGCTCAAAACGAAAATGCTAAGTGGATGAGGTCACCCTGGGAGGGAGAGAACATGTCTCAAGGAGTTGATCTTATTGCCCGGGACAGGGAGAAATATGTGGCGTGCTGTTATATTACTGTCTTGTTTATAGCAAAGACCCGTGGACTTGTTGGGGAGTAAATTTGCCCCGCGTTAAAACCCAAAGCAAGCAGTCCTGCTTCTTAGCCTGATGCTGTAATTGTCCCTTTGACTCTGGGTTTAAGGCGACTCGGGCTAAGCGACACACATGGGCCATGCAGTCTTCATATCCTCATGGGCTCATTAGTAGTTTGGCCTTTCTGAACGTGCGTTTCTGCGCTGAGTGACTTATGTCCAAAGGACTCCTGAGGACAAAACAGCCTGTTAAAAACCTAACGGGCAGTTTCCCCTAATAAGCTCATGTATCAAAGTGAGGCAAGCCCGATTTATAGTGAATAAAGGGCTTTCTTCATTTGCAAACATATCACTTTGCCAGGGACCAAACCAACAGGCACATGGGGCAAGTGCATGAGTTTGCAGCCCTCATAGTGGCCTGTTGGGTCGTTAGTCCAAGAATCCCAGCAATTACCTTGGTAGCAATGAACTTGAATGAGCTCACCCCGGAGGATGCCACGGGTGGGCTCAGTATGTTCCCCTGTGTAAACGGAGCAGAATACGGGTCTTGCTCCACATCGGTTCTGCCACTGACTGGGTGGGAAGAGGATAAGCCGCACAAGTCCCCATTTCGGCACCCCTCCCTTTCCAGTCTGTGCCTTTAGCTGAAGCAGGGAGCGGTGTGTCATGTGCATTCCTCGGGGGCGTTTGGGAAACATCCTCTGGGAATAAAGGTGTTGGGAGCCCTGTTGCACCGGGATCAGAGGGAGTTTTCCTAGGAGCGGGGATGGAAGAAGTCAAGGCCCCTTTGCTTTTTTAGTGCACACCCCACTGATTTGGGCTGATCGTTGGGGCTGGTTGCAAGCCGGGTGCTTAGGGAGGCTCCCCCCCATGCCATGCAATGTCTCCCTCCAACCCAACTCTGCTGGGGGCACTTTGGGAGCAATGAGGGTCAAGGCCAGGGCTTGTGTGCTGCCTCGCGGTGCCGAGCAGCTCTCGTGACATTTTCCAGCTCACTCTGGAGGGACTTTGTGCTGCGCCCTGTCAGGGGCTCGCAGCGAACCCGTTCTGCAAGCAGCCAGCAAGCCCAACGGTGCTGAAATCGTACACAGCGCAAGCTGGCTGTCGGCCGTGGCACAGGGCTCAGCAGGGCAAATGCCGACCTTTCCTCTTGGAAGCTCGGATCAGAGCCAGCCTCGGGTGTCCTCAAGCCAGATGCTTGGCTCCTCTTTGCTCTCTGCGGCTGAAGCAGCCGAAGGGACCCCATATGGAGCAGGGCTCGGATCCTGAGCTGCCTACGCCAGCAAACTTCCACGGACTTCCCCAAGCACCGTGGGAGGGCTGGGACCTCTCAGCATCTACCCTGCCATTGCCTGGGCTGGGAAGACAGCTGCGTAGGGTCTGCCTGCTTACCAGGGGGCAAAGCCTCTCCGAGGGTGGAGGCTTCTCGCCAGCGAAGGGTGGGAAACTCTTGGGGCGCGAGGGGGGTGGGATGGAAGGAGCTGCCTGAGAGACGCAAAGAAATGGTTGCTTCAAGGAGCGTTGAGGCTGGAAGGGGCCACGTCCATGGAGCAGGGGCGTTTTTGCCTACATTTTACCGTGCCGGGGGGTGCGTCGGCAGGTGGTCGAGGTTTCTGGGAGGGTCTCCAGAGGTGTTGGCTGGGCCAGGCCGCTGGTCTCAGCCCTGTAGGGAGCGGAGGGTGCGACGGCCTTGAACTCCTGCAGGCTTGGGGGCGAGTCTCCCCTCCCACAGATAGCTCCCCCGTTTTGTCCTGCTGCATAGGCGTAGGGCACCCACGGCGGTGAGGCAGAGGGGAGCTCTGCGCTGGGCTCTGGGGCAGGAGACAACGTGCTCAGCCTCCCTCGGAGACTCTGCATCCTCCCGCTGCTGCTTTGCCAGGCCACGTGGAGAGCCAGGAGCGTGGAGCCCTGAGTTTTACTTTACTCCATCTCTGCAGGTAGCAGAGCCTTTGTAACCAGCCCCCAGCCCCCACCGCCACTCCCGGGGGCTCTTAGAGCCGCTCGATAAGTGGTGCCTTTAAGAGGCATTTGATTCCTGTGATATTGTTGTGGTTAATGAAGGGGAACTAAGGGAGAGATATATTTGCTGGAAGGAGTTAAAGGCAAAAAAGTTTCCCCCCATTGCTTTTGTCTGTGGCTGCCGCTTTGATGGGCTTTTGCCTTTGACAGATCTGCAATAAAGCAAAGCTCCTTGCTGGTCCCTCCACAACAGCTCCCACCCTCCCCTTCTGCAGATGTCGGAGTGAAAGCCCAGGAACTTCCCAAGCTTGGAGGGAGCTGCTTGCAGGAAGGGGTGGGGGGAGGCACTGGGGGTCTCCCGGCCCCCACTCCCCTCCCTCCGCCATTCCCACACGAAACCAGCCCTAATGAAAACAAGTTGGTCAGCAGCAATCATAGCCAGTGAGCTCAAGGCTGCAGAGCGGGAGGCGGAGGAGGAGGAGGCTGGGCTCGCGCAGACAGTCCCAAGGAGACAGAAGAAACTGGGCAAGGACCAAGGAGCTCAGGACAGCTAACTTTTAAACTTCCCCCCCTCCTCCTTCTTACGGTCCTGCAAGCCCTGCGCACAGATCCCGCTGACGGGAGGGTGCTGGGAGACGCACACGTCTGCCTAGCCCCCAGCTGGTAAGTCCATGCCCCCCAGCCCAGGAACGAATGCTTCATGTCTTTTATATTTCTTTGAAATCAGAAATGCAGTTCAGCCGCCCTCCCTTCCTTCCCCAAATACCTCCTGGCTTCTTTTTAAAACTCCTTGCTGCTCCTTTACCTCCAGCACAGCCCCCTTCTTTGTGTCCCTCTGGATTTTATTTATTGGGACCACCCTCCCCCCCGACACGCACATCTGTTCCCTCCAGGGCTTTGCTTCCAGGTGGGTGTTTGAGCGCTGTGCAGCGTGCTCCTACAGCAGCACACGGGTAGCGTGGCTGACTTCTCTTGGGGTCGGGTCCCTTGCACCCACAGAAAGAATTTGGCTTGGGGAATAATGGTGAGAGCCAAAAAGGCATTGGAGATCTCAGCCCGTAGGAGGAGAAGTTCAGGGGCGTCCTGCTGGGATGAACTGATTGCACTTCTCCAGGGCAAGGGCCGTGTGTGGGGGAGCGAGGGAGAGGGAGCTTAAGGATGCTTTTGCTTGATGTGCTAGGGGAGAAGTTTTGGGGTATGGGGAGGTTTGCGGGGGATGTGTTTAGGCACTAGGGAGGAGGTGTTCATGGTTGTCCTGAGTGATTAGAGAGAAATGAGTGTACCTTGTGCTGGTACTGGAGGAAAGCTGAGGGGGAATTGCCCCCGGGGTCTGGGGAGTGCAGCCTGTCTGCCCTGGGCCCTCTGCGGTGGCTGGAGAGTGGCACAGGCGCGGAGGGGTACGACGGAAGGGGGCAACAGTGGAGTGTTTTGAGTGCAGGCATGGGAGGAAAAGAGGGGGAATATTGACAGCTTCCCCATGACCTCCTGCTGTACTGCGTTAACCGGTTGGACTCTGATGCTGGTTTAAAGGTGGCGGGAGGAGATGAGGGGCATTCAGTGGCTGCAACAGACCACAGCTGCCTTTGTAGCTTGAGTTTGCCTTAAAGCCTGGCCGCCCAGAAGGGCTGACATCCCGCTGTCCTTGTGCACTCTTCTGGCCACGGCACCAGGCTTCCAGGCGGCTTCAGCGGAGAGGGGCTCTTGGGCTCCAGACGCCTGGGGAAGCTGGCAGGAGCTTTGTCTGAATGAGGTCTTGCAGAAATCTGCCCTAGGATTTACAGAGCAGCATATCTCTGGCCCGTGGAAATGGGGCCAACCAGGGAGAAAAGCGGCAGATGCAAAGCCCTCCAGAGTCTGAGGGATGTCTGATTTTATCGTTCCAACACGAGCTGGCTGCTAGGTCTTTAACGAGATACATTTTTTTCAGCCTCTTACAATGCTGCATTATTTATGATCTCCCCAATCTCCTCCAGTCTCCTGCTTCTCCCATGTCCTATGCACTCCAGGGGTGCACGGATCCCTTGTAAAGCAAGGGTGGAGGAAGTGGGGAGAGAAGAGGGTGGGATGGGTTGACCAAGCCCCACCAGCTTCGAGTTGCAAAACACAGGATTTGGAAAATAAATCATGGCAATCAAAGTAATATGGAGTCATGAGCCCATGAGAGCAGTGAGTTACTCTGGAAGCTGATACAAACTCTGAGCCCCAAACTGAAACCCTGGCTCTTAGCGTCTGGGGATGCCTGGAAAATTTGGACCTCAATCCAAATTGTGCAGCTTGAGCTTTACATCAAATACATATGAGGGTAACCGCGCCAGCCTGCCCTGCCTTCCCTATCTTCTCCCTGCAAAGCCTCTTTGTCAAGAAGTGAACTCCCCGCATGGGGGAGGCTGGAGACTTTTTTTTTTTTCCTGTGTTATAATGGAAACCAGATTTCCAGTGGCGACAGAGTTAGGAAAATGATGGTTTTACTTCTGGGTAGCTTCATTTGTTTTAATTGTAATTTCCTCCTTTAAAATCAGCAAAATTTGGTTAAAATGACTCTCTGGGGAGAGGGGAAGGAGATGCGACTGAAATGCAGCTGGAGCTGAGTTGTGAGGGCCCCTCGCAGGCCAGGGGAGGAATGCAAGGCCGAGGGTGCGTTTGCCACCCAGACGTGCATCTGGATAAGCCCCAAGGGGTGAGCTTTCCCTGTGTCACATCCTGCTCAGGGTCTTGGTAGGGAAGGGACTAGCCCACAGCAAGTGACATGACACCTTCCAATGTCATCTGTCATGCCCTTCTCTTTGTAAATCCCTTCCCCACCCTCCACATCTGACATGTAAGGAGGTGCTGATCTTTCCATTTTGGAGCTCAGGGGCTGGGCTATGCACAGAATGAGACCAGCAACTTCTGCGGACAGGTCTGTGGCTCAAGGATGGGACTCTTAAGTCACCCCAAGGTCCATCAGTGAGCCATGTCATAGAGAAGTGGGGCTGGAAGGGACCTCCAGAGCCAAACTAAACTACATCCAAGAAGTTTTAGTTTAATGCACAAGAAAGACTTTTAAAGTGTTGGGAAATCCCACTTGTGCAAACAGACACGCAGTTGCAGTTCATGAAAGGGCAAAAGTCGTGGTGTGTACATGAGCCCATCTAGTCCAGCCCCCTGCCTTTGGCAGGATCAGCCCTACCCAAACCATCCCATACAACCATAATCTAAACTATGGTAGAAATCAGCCTCAAACTGAGGGATTGCTGATGATGGCATAGAGATGGAGCAGCTTGCTCAGGGTCACATGAAGCATCTGAGTCAGGACAGGGGAATTTCACCCAGGCCAAGCCCTCTAACCCTTAGACCCCTTAATCTGGGCCAAAAAGATGATCTCAGGGGCTGAGTTTCTTTCTTCTCCTCACATCCCCCACCCCTCAGGGTCACTGACACCTGAGGAAAGACACTGGAGAAATTGCTCAAGGAGAGTAGGGATGACTGGACCATGGGAGTGCTGGGCTGTCTGGGAGCAGACTCACACTTGAGGGTGCCTTGGGCACTCTTCAGATGAGAGGAGAAGGGAGATCAAGACTAAAGTGTCCTCACCCTGTCAGAAACCACCCTCTTCACTGTGGTTTCCCTGAAGGCAGCTTGAGATGCCCATGCCAGTCCAACCCATGCCCCTCTTGTCTCTCTAGTGTCTTGCAGCCCGTGCTGCCAGGCATGTGAGAACATACATGTGGTGCCCTGGGTCTTTTTCCTGCTAAAGATTAAAGCCTGTTGCCTGGGGCACATGAATACTGCAAAAAACTAAAAAAGGAGCCAAGGTGCAGTCTGCCATGCTAGATATTTCCATGCAAACTTGCCGGGCACATGAGGAGGGAACAGGGAACCGGCAAACAGTAATGATACAATGCAGCAGCACCAGGCTGCAAAACACAGACACAAGCTTGTCTCCCTTCCTCTCTCCTCCACACAACTTTTCCCAATGGCCAGCAGACAGTCATGACACTTGGTATCCAGCCAGGCCAGAACTGAATCGTTCCTCCTTATGAATAACCTGAACCCATCCAGCCCGTCCTGCTGGTTTAGTGCAGACATCCTACAGTGCAGTGAGTCGGCCACAAAGCAGAGAACAGATTTGACCATTGCTTTACTCTACCCCTTGGCACCCAATGGGGGCCATAAACTGTACAAGGAGCAGCCAAAGGTTGTCTAGAATGGCATTTGGTTTTGAGTTCACACTTTTTCTCTGCAGGTACCAGGTGGTCTGGTAGCTCCCCTTGTTAAACCACCCAGGGCCAAGACAACAGGTCATAGGCAGCTGGTCCCATGGCCATGGCTGGGTCTACATATGTAAGCAGTCATGACGACAAGTTGTTTTCAGTGCAGCCTGCCCCGCGATGTCTTGTTCATTGTGTAAGTCATGGGAACTAAGAGGTTGTCTTTCCCTGTGTCCCACTGGGTGCCAGTCTGGGCCCTCTGAAGTGCTGGTCACTGTGAAGCTCTTGGTCACTGCATTGGTGGAGATGGGTCTGCAGATCTCTCTCCATCGCTCTCAGGCACCAGTGTCCTGGAGCACTGGACAGTCACCAGGGTCCAAGAGTCCTGCTGTTGTGCCCTGCAAATCCTGCAAGTTGAGAAGAGGCCAAGGCACAGGTGGGAGTGGTGAGAGGAACCTGTGTGCATCCTCACTGCCAATGTCTGCATGACTCTGGCAAAGACTCCAGCCCGGCATAGCTGCAGTCTGAGCTATTCTGTTGTGAAGTCCAGTAAAATGACACCCCAGACTTACATTGCCATCTAGCAGGGAATCCCGAACTGTTGTACCAGGAGCATTTGGACAGATTTTCAACTGGGAGGCGATTCCTATTTTCCTTTCATTCCTCCACCCTCCAGTTATACTCTGGGTTGTTCTGTTTCTTGTGGCCTGGGGTTTTGGCCCAGGAGGTGTACTCATCTGTGACTCCTCTTATATCACCAAGTTGCCTGAAGCTCATGGCATCTGTTTGTCCATCTTGCAACGAAGAGCCTTCATGTGCTGCTTAATATGACGGCTGTGTTTTCACATCGTGTTTCCTTTTGTTGCTCTTCTCTCTCTTTCTGAGCCCGGTGTGAGTCACACTGCAAAACCTGGACAGCCCCAGGCTCTCATATTGCAGGCACGATGCCCCTCCAGCAGCTTCTTAGCAAGTGCTTCAAAAGATGACTTCTTTGCACTCGCATCCCTGCTTCTCGTAGACATGGAGCCGAAACGTGTTCTTCATCCCAAACCTGTGCAGGAGGCTATGAATGATGGAATAGGCGGAAGACGCGAGTGGCTCACTTCATTTGCTTAGTGGTCTCAAGTCAGGGAGCCGTTCCTATTATTGAGATCAGCACACTTGCTTCAAGGTAGGCAGGCCCGGTAGGTGTGGGCAGGCAGCATGTGGGCAGTTTTGAAGCAAGACCAAGGAGAGAGGTCTCCAAGTAACACAAACCACTGTGACAACTGGCACTAATTGCTTTCCTTGATGACACTCTCGCGGGAGAAGCCAGGACTCGAAGAAGCCATTAAGGCAGTTGATGCAAATAATATAAATGCGGGCAGGAAGAGGCCGGTCTGGAGCTGATCAGAAGCACTAGCATTCAGAGGGGAGCCGGGTGAAATCATTAGGGGCATCGGCTTTTAACAAGGCTTAAAGGAGAGAATGTTTAAACCATTGGTGTGGTTAGGCACGTGGCTCTAACTGCTAGCAAATGATGTGATGCGTCCCCAGAGTTGGAAGCTTGCCCTTCTGGAGTTCAGTCTGTGTCAAAGTTTCCATCGTAAACCTCAATTTTCAGGAATTTATTAATCAGCCAAACTAATTTTACTTGTGCCAGAATCTCAGCGCTCGGCACGTCCAACCCAGCATTGCAGTGCAAAAAAAAAAAAAGCAAAAGCAAGAGCCATTCATCTGTTTTCCATCTATTTTTAAAGTCTGTCAGTACAACACAAATGGAAATATGCACTTTACGGCGCTGCTTTATGATCATAAAACCTCAAGCAAAGTCCGGGTTTGGTTTGCATGGTGTTGAAGGAGCGAAACACAGCAAATCATTCGGTGCCTAAAAGAATCGGACCACTGTTGTGCATTCGGAAAGCACACGTCCAAAGTGGCATCCTTCCATTTTTTAAGAGGGGTTGTCGGGTCACTGCTGTGCCTGTTTGGACTATGTGACACGTGCCTCCTTCCTCTCAAAAGCCTGCTAGCAAACCTGTATAAATAACCCTGATTCTGTCTGACGTTCTGTCTGCATTTCACTACCCCTAACGTATCTCTCCCACTGTGTTTATAGGATCACTAGTGGTTTTACTGTTTAAAAATGTCTCTTTAGTGGAAACATCTGACGAATTTCTTTCTTCACTCTATTGGTACTGAATCCCCATAACCCATGCAATAGTTAATAGACTGTAATAGTCCTTATATTCATTAGCTGAATAATAGTCTTTATATTCATTAGCTGAAAACGGTCCTGCCTTCCTTTGTGAGATTCCTTTCTGCTTTTGCTACCCTGAGTCACACTGAACAGCCCTTTGCTCTGAGAGCTGTGGGCTTTCTTATGTGGTAGGGTGGGTTACTCCTGGAAAGTAAATGGCAGGAGAATCAGATGCTATGATGGCATTCATCCATGCTCCAAGCCTGCGGGGCATCCAAGCACCAAGTGAACTCTATCTTTCTAGTTTTCAGTGGGACATAGAGTTTGTGCAGGGCTGTAGCAGATAGCTGAAGATGCATTTCATTGCAAATATTCCAAGTGAGCAGCTGACTGGGTTGAGGAGCAGCATAGGACAGGCTACAGGGCCAGAGCAGTAAGTCGAACACCATGCATTAGCCCAGGGGGGCCTGAAGGTCTCTTGACCCTCTTAAGCAGGGTTTGCCAGTGAGGGAATATACCTAGATGAGGGAATTACTTGTCTGTGCATGTGCATGTGCACGTGTGTGTGCTATAGTTTGCCAGTGCCCACTGCTGTTGTGAGACACAGGGGCCATTGGTGCTTGAAGTGATTCCCTGCCAAGTCAGGTTTCCAGCAGAAATGGCTTTCCAGCTGCTACAACATGTGACACGGTCGCGATGGACAGCTGCACAACATTACCCTGCAAGTCGTAAAGCCGTTCCCATCGCTGGCGGATCCCTCGTTAAATACCAAGACAGTAATTCACTAAGTAAAAGAAGCTTGGAGTGAAAACTCTTTGCTCCCAGCCCTTGTCAAGGGAGCCTGACACGTTGCGTCTGGTACTCCTGCAGCCCGCCATTGCTCAAGCTGTTCGACCCCCCTGGTGGCTGGGGACTTGGTCTTCTAGCAGAGGTCTGTCTGGTTACAGGACCTAAGGGACAGTGTTGGAGAGCCTGGGAAAATCTCCATCCAAAGTGCCCCATGGGCTTCCTGGTGTCTCTAGGGCATGCAGTGGGGAAAGGTGACACTTGCTGGGGAAATGCAAAGTAACAGGGTGTGCGGTCTGAAAGGCCAGCGTGCACTCCTCTTTGCAAGCCCAGGGAGAGCCGGAGGCATCCGGCCAAGTTTCCATGTGTTAGAGAAAGAAGCAAGATGGGGATGAAATATGCTCGGGTTTGGAGCCTGTGGATGTGGCTGTGTGGGTCCATCTGTGTGTGGTCTTGACATTCCTCGTCCCTTGGGTTTCTCACCGGTGCCTGTGACACGGCCACCCTCCTGCTGAGGACACACAAGTTTTGGCAAGAGGGAGTCAGTCACCAGCCTTTTTTCTCCTCCTCGCATTCAGGAGGCTGCCTCCACCCTGCTACCACCCCCTGGTGACCGGCAGGTGGTTGCAGAATTGGTTCTCACCGAGAGGCAGGTGTCCTGTGCGCGACGCACTGCTGAGTTTCTATTATGCTGGTTGTTTGCCCTCATCACACGAGATTTCCCAGGGGCTGGGCAAGTGGTGGGGAACAGCTATTCAGCATGAATAAGTAGAGGTTTGATATGCAGCTAGCCGTGCTGGGACCTAGGGCCAGAGGAAGACGTCTGGGACCATCAGCAGTGGCCTCATCCCCTCCAAAAGATGAGCAGGCAGGAGCTGTGGGCTGGGGAAGGGAAGCTGAAAAAGCTGGCATCTGACCAGGTAGGAGGAAAGTCAGGTCCAGAGGGAGCAGCTGCTGCCCAGACATTTTCCATGAACTCTGGCAGACGTGTGAAGCACTTACCACTTGTGAGCTCCTTTACCTGTCCAGCCAGAGATCTCACTTCTGCTGTGCTGTTTAGTCTGAGAGCACCAGAGACCAACTTCAGGGCGAGGGTCACATTATACGTTGAGCCCAGCATGGGGCATGAGCCCTGTTCCTCTCTACAAGCAAGCAGCCACTTCATGGGGTCGGTCACACAGGATTAATTTCTATGCCCCTTTGGTTTTTTGGAGGGTTTGGGCTTGGTTTTTCTTCAAAAAATTGCCACAGGAAGTCTCTGAAATTAGACTACAGCCACAGTTTCTTTTTGGGAGGCCCGCTTAGCATTGTAACAGGTGAGTGTAGACGAAACAAAATTTCCCATTTATGTGGAGACACCTGCATTTGTGTTTGGGATTTCTCGCCACTTTAAAGTCCATTTAGTGCCTTAAACTAACGCTACTCAGAGATGTTTTAATTTGCGTTGCTTTCCTGTTACGCCGCTCCAACTGTGGATTTTGTTCATGCAAAGTGATAAAGGTCAACAGTTATTGACCTTTATCACTAAGCCCCCGAACTGCTAGAAACACTGGTTTACACACAGCTTAGGCAGGTGAACCTGAGCACCTATAAGACGGGCCTGTTAAATAGATTTGGGGTCATTTTTAGCTCTTATTCAGGGTGTCAATGAGAGCTGGGGTGAAACCTGCTATAACAGACAACTTCCCTGACCTGACCCTCCACCCTCAAGGAAATGGGTGGCTAAGTCACCCATGAGGACAAACTCTGTCCTCCATGTGTGCCTCATCCTTTGCACAGCCAGCTCCCATCTGCACCCACGCTTTGTCCCGGGCAGGACACTAACTTGTATCATTTCCTTTCCAGAGTCCCAGGCGCACCCTGTAGGGACATGGCCAACCCAGTGACCCTCTGCGGGCTTCTGCTCCTACTGGTGCCCCTTTGCACCACGCGGTCAACGCCCTTGCAGACAACGGTGATGAATGACAATGCAGGCAGCGGGGACAATGAGGAGGTCTTTGCCATGTCCTCCTCGCCCAGTGTGACTTTGGGCGTGAGCCCCACGGCCAATGGGATTGCGGTGACCTCTGTCAACAGCACCTCGCAGTCGAATGACATCGTCACAGGGATCATGGACTTTGTGAAAGAATACATGCTGCTGATTATTGTGGTGGGGTCCTTGGTTTTTGTGCTGCTCTTCATTTTATGTGCAGCTGCCATAGTCAGGCAGAAACACAAGGCCTCGGCGTACTACCCCTCTTCTTTTCCAAAGAAGAAGTACGTGGATCAGAATGACAAAGCGGGTGGTGCCAAAGCCTTCAGTGAAGTCCCCGAGAAGGCCTCCGATGCCCACTCTGAGGAGCCAGTGGATTCTTCCAAGCAGCTGCAGGCTGACATTTTAGCTGCTGCCCAGAATCTCAAGTCCCCAGCCAAAGCCTCTCTGGCCAACGGAGACGGGATGAAAATGGAGGACAAGCCGCCCAAAGACAAGGAGGAAGGAGCCAAAGTGGAGGACGACAAAGAGGATGCCGAGTGCATTTCCAAAGAACCAGAGGCCACTCTGGAGAAAACCGAAAGTGGGAAGGAGACGCCAGTCCCCAGCTGCACAGCAGAAACCAAGGCCAGGGAAGAAGAGCCACCATCTGCTGAGGAAGGCCAGCCTGCTCAGGAGCCTGCCACGTCCTCACCCGAGGAGCCCAAAGATGACTGCCCTGGGGCGGCTGCCGAGTCCGTTGCGCAGACCACTGAGCAGGAGCAGCAAGACCCGGCAGCCCCCGACACCTGCGCCTCGGGTGTCTAATGGAGGAACTTGAGCCCTAGAGCAGCAGACCTTTGTTCCTGATACGTGCTGCAGGAACAAACGGGCGCTGTTTGATAGCGTTGAATCAGAGATCTCTTACACGGACGACAGCCTGTGTTGTTTTGTATTAAGCAGGCAAAATAGATGAGGCTCTTGGGCCACAGGGTGTTCTGCCCAACTGTAATATCAAAACCTAGTAGATTTAGTACACTGTGTCTTACCTTGACAGGCTCTTCAACTCCTGCATAATAACTTAATAGCGTGCACTTACAGTAAGTCCCTTGGTGGTGGTGAGGGAAGAGGTTTGGCCAAACTCTGGGGTCCGCACTCCTTATTTCAAATGCAGAATGGAATAGTTCTAATAGTGGCCTTCAGTGATATTTAGCAAGACCTGCCATTTACATGTTACATCCTAGCATGTGCTTGCATTGTGGGTTTCCTTGCCCATCTATTCAAGAAAACCCAATGCTAAAAGCTGTGCAAGCATCTGAGAATTTGGAACTCTGTGGGGGAATTTTGCAGCCTTTATTTATTAGGCTTAATTATAGTTCCCAAAGACGCCTCCACTCCTCCAAAAATTCCTGCCCAGGCATATGCATTGAAAGTCTGGGGGGCCCTCATGCATACACCACGATCCAGGAGGATCAATGGTTGCCACCATTTCCCAAAGAATATCCAGGCCATTTTCTGGGATGATCGGGTCTGTTTGAAGTAAGATGTGACTTGCCCTCTAGCAAGCATTAAAGTTGTTGTTATTAGATGGAGGACTTTTGGCTGGGAAAGAACTTCTCTGTGCACAGTGGTGCTTGATGGGTATCTGCAACACAATTTTCCAGGCAAACCTGGAAAGCAGGGGATGTTTTATTATATGCTGGGCAGCTGGACCATGTAAGGCCACCAAATGGTGAAGAGTCTTGTTTTAAAACATAACCTCAGACTTTTTGTCTGTCATTGTAAAGGCTTGATCAATATTTATGACCTTCTTTGATTTTTTTTCCATACATTCTGATTGTCAAAGCACTATAAGAGGGAACATGCAACTCTTTGCAGATATATACAATTGACACTTTTGTTATAATCATTTCCTTTGGCCTCTATATTTTGTTGCAGTGTACAGTAATAATAATTATAGATTAGAAAGAGCATTCTGTATTATAGCCACTGTTTACCTGTTCCATGAAGATGACTCGCAGAAATATATTTTACTCAGGGTCTCTGTTGATAAAGTAAAGCTAAAGAAACCCCCCTTGCCAGGAGGTACTAGCTAAAGAAGGGAGGAAGGAAAGGAATTAAATGGAGAGGGAAAAAAAGAGTTATCCTTCGAATTTTTATGCCAAAATTCCAATGATGTCTTAAGACAAACAACCCACCCCCTAAAATTGCAGTGTTGTTTTCTTCTTATCCCTCAGTTATAAATAAAGATTTTTTTTCTATGCAAATATAACTTGTTATGTCTTTCTATGCAAATATAATATATTAT